CTGCACTCTTATGAAACGCGAGCCAAGGCGCGAGGCAACAACAGAGAGGCATCGCGTTGTTGCACCGCCAGCACTGCCAGGATGGAGGTGGCTAGAGACAAGTTGCTAACTACAAAGGCGTGTCGTCACGTGGGACGAATTAGTTATCGTTCATTTGCTCACGTGTGTGAGTCGTGGAAGCATTGCTGCACGGTGACAATTAAGGATCGTACAAAGTATCGAAAAAATTATATCGCGATGGCACGCCATTTTGGTTGGACGCTGACAAATCTATCATCGTCTTGATCGTTATTATCGTCACCTAATCCTCAAGAATTGAACACAATTCATTCTTTTACTTCCATTATAGGAACTCTCAGAATAATGGTTTTTGTTACCACACGCAATGTAAAAATTTTGTCTAGGAAGCCGCACTCTTACTGCGTTTACGGCACACGCTTGTGTGTGTGCGTGTGTGTGTGTGAGGGGGGGGGGTGTATGTGTGTGTAAGTACGGAAGGAGCCGCCGAGTCCATCCGCGTGGAATTTCCTCTTCGTTCACGACTTTCGTTAATAACTTTTCTAAAGCGCAAGGAAAAAAGAACTTGCGTATGTATTATACGAGCGTGTACGTTTATGAGCAAGGGGCAACCAAGGCAGCCGAGCCAGGGCAGCCAAGGCAGCCGGGGCAGCCGGGGCAGGGAGCTCCACACACCAGGGATGGCCCATCACGGCCCCGGACGCCTAAGACGCCCCGGACGATCGGTCGCCGTGAAAACAGCCATTCCAGTCCGCACTCTGCAATTACGCGTGTAGGGGAAAGGCAAAGCGGATAATTAGCCGCTAATTAGATTATTTGGGCGGTGTCCTTCGAGGAGTCGGTGCGAGTGCGAGGGGAGGGGGGAGGGGGACTCGTTCACTTCCGGCGGCCGGGAAAAAAGTGATTTGTAAATCAAAGTCGTCGGACCCATGAATACACACGGGCAGGCGGACCGAATTTCAATGTGAATGAGGCGGCTGAATTCGGCCGTGTAAATGTGAATGGCGCGCGGTTCATCGAGTGCGAGTGTTTGGGGCACCTTCGAGACAGGTTTGGTTCGCCAACTGGATAACTAACTGGATAACTAAATTTGAGGTGACCGTAAAAAAAATATTGGGAAAAAATTTTAGAAGCTATAAGGTATTACATGTATCGCATTGGTAAACAACGATAGAACTTCCTACAATCATTGTACAAAATATGGACAAATTTCATATCCGGGCGGTAAAAACGCCAAAGTACGAAAAATGAGTGGCAAATCCACCAGAAATCCAGCACATTCTCAGAACCATTGTGCACAAAGCTATAGTGGGTCAGCCCTCGTCCATAACGCTAGACCGCGTTCGCAGAAAACGTCATATCGAGGTCGAATTTCTGTCCAGTTAGGATGCTTGGTGGGGGCTCCAGGACGCAACACGTACCCCGGTAGCCCCCTGGGTGCCCCATCGGGGGCTGTCCTCCCATTTCTCCTTTACGGCCTTGGCTACGCTTGTGCAGTAACCCCCCGTGGGGCCCCACCACGGCCCGGCCGCGGCCCCACCATGGCCCCGCGCGCGCCCCGTTTTTTGGTCGTTAAGTGTCTGTTGCGTGGATATCTGCCCGCTGCCGGGCTTGGCGGCTTGGCGTGCGAGACCGCCCGGCCACGGTGGACGGCCAGCCCGCCACCCCCGGCAAAACACCCAACAGCTTCTAAACGATGAAAATTCATTACGCCTTAATCAACTATTTAAAAAAAAATTAAAATCCATTTATTTTCAAAAACGGAAAATTTAAAGTGCCGTGAACTTTTGTATACATTCGCGGCGTCCTGCTGCAGGAGAATAACAGGTCTCTTGCCTCCCAAGCCGTTCCCCTCCAGCTGCCGGGCGTGACCCCGCGGATGACTTTTAAATTAGCACTTCGCTGCGTACGTCCCCGCCGCACAAACACTTTACCAGCAACACGCTCAAACCAGCCAGTAACGTTTTAGAAAAAAAAAATAAAAAATGTCAAGAAAGTCAATAGATTTACGTTCTGGTCATTATAGTGTTTGTAGAAAATAAGGAAAAATAAAAAAAAAAACAGGAAAAAAGTTTAAAACAGGGAAAAATTTTAAGACAGGGAAAAGTTTAATACAGGGAAAAAGTCGAAGCCAGGGTAAAAAGGTCATAGGGGTTCGTATTTTGTATCCTCATCAGTTTTGTTGCAATCTAGACACAGTATCGTATTGGTCGGCAATCACGGACACTTTTTTTCCTGCATCACTTTTCTGCTGCGATAATGGTATACCGCCCAGGTCGCGGACACACACACACACATACACACACACGCAGAGAGAGAGAGAGAGAGAGAGAGAGAGAGAGAGAGAGAGAGAGAGAGAGAGAGAGAGAGAGAGAGAGAGAGAGAGAGAGAGAGAGAGAGAGAGAGTGGCGCACTGCATGGCGGTCTGAAATGCATCACCTCGGCCGCCCCCGCTGCCGCTGATATGCAGAATGCCGCCCAGGATGCTATCGCCCTAATTGCATCCCATTGTTGCAGTGCGGTAATTGCAACTGCAGGTGCAACAATGATGAATGCATGTCATCTGCAATAATGCAAGGCGGGCCGTCGTCGCCTCCGTTTGCTCAAGTGCCCGCGGGGCCCCGCCACTTGTGTGTGTGTGTGTGTGTGTGTGTGTGTGTGTGTGTGTGTGTGTGTGTGTGTGTGTGTGTACACCCGGCGTTATAGTTGGTAATTTGCAAGTAAAGGGGGGCAGTTCGTCATCCCGTCGCCAGTGCACTGTACTTACCTACACACCTCCTCGCGGCCCCATAGAGTGGAGAGGCATAGGATTGCAGGTGCGTAAATGTGACTCAAGTGCAGAACCCTCGCAAAGCCAATACCCAAGCCAGAGCCGTGCCTCCGGAATAAACGTCGATATCATTAGTTGGCACGCGTGTCACGGTGGCGCCATCTGCCGGCTGGCGATTCCGAACCGTCGCTCTGTCTGTCTCTCTCGCACGCATGGGACGCGCCGTGTCGGTGCGAGAGAGACAGAGCGATGTTCGGAACGAGCCTGCCGGCGCGGAGAATGAGCGAGAATGAGTGAGGACGGGGCGACGGCGACGCGACCGCTTCTTTGCCGCTCTAAAGCGCTTTTGATGGCGCTCGGCGTGGCGCTCGGCGTGGCGCTCGCGGTGCGGGTGCGGCCCGCGAGCCCCGCCCGACATTGTGTCGTCCGGCAGCGGGACGGCCGGCACAACCAACCGGGGCGGATATCGGGCGCGTGGATGAGCGACATCTGCATAACATGGCGAGGCGAGCCTGCCCGGCCCGAGCGAGGCCAGCAGCTTTCATCGCATTTATTTGCACAAATCGGTCGGCCGGCCGCAGCAAAAAGCAGCACAATGCCGTCCTCGCCATCATCGGGCCGGGGAGAAAATTGCCAGCGAAGAGGGGGGGAAGGGGGGGGGCGGCAAAGCGAGTTGATTAGGCAAAATCCAGACAGCGGGCGAATAAAAAAGAAGGAATCACTCGGTATTATTGAAATACTACGGAGCGAAGGGGCGTCCAGAGCAGACTCGTCCGACGAAATTCTTCTCTCCCAGCGAGAGATGAATGACAAAAACCGGACGAGATCCCGATTTAACGTCGGCTTAACGCTACCGCCACTGCCCACTGCCATGACACACGGACAGGCGCGCGCGCGCACACACGCACACACACACACACACACACACACACACACACACAGAGTCACACAATCCGGCAGCGGAATGCGATAGGAAGCAACAAGAATGTTGGCGTCGTTGGCGTCGCGGCGCCCCTTGACGCCGCCACGTCTCTAATCAAGAGCGAGAGAGAGAGGGCGGCCGAGAGAAAGGGAGAGAGGTGCGGTGAAAGGGAGTGGAGGGGGCGGCCGGGCGGCCAGCCAATGGCGGGCGACGGCGGCGCGGTGGGGCGTGGCCGCGCGGCCCGCGGTGGGGCGTCGCACCCCTTCCACGCGGCGCCGAGGGGGGCGGGGCCAGGCAGGCCCGGCCAGGCCGCCGCGCCGCCGCGGCTACTGGTCTTACCCTCCCCTCCCCGCGCGGCGTGGTGCCCCTGGTTCGCTCCGCGGCGCTCCGCGGCGGGGCCGCCCCCTCCCTGCCGTCCCAGCGCCTCTGTTGCTTCTAATACGGACTGGCCCCCCTGCCCCCGGACCCCCTTCCGGCACTGCGAGGCACTGCACAAACTCATCTAGGACCGCGTCCCGACGCCGCGGTCCAGCAATCTTTGTGTTCGGAATAAGCAACGTCCGTCTCGACACGTTTTTTTGGTGGGCGTGCTTTGCTCTGCAGACAGAATCCGCACGTCGTCGCTCTGTCTCTCTCGCACTCATGGGGCGCCCCGTGCGAGTGCGAGAGAGACAGAGCGACGAAGCCGTTCGGCATCAGCCCCCTCCTTGCGGCGAGCTGGTGGATGCCCGAGAGGCGACGATCGCATCCCCGCTGCAGGGTCAGCCGGCGAGGCACAGTGGGCCACACGACCGGTGGAGGCGGTCAAAATCTCGGACGCGTTTTGAGCGCCAGAGTCGCTCTACGGGACTCAAACCGAACATGTGATCCCACCAATGGATTGCTCTCCGTACGAGCAATCCATTAGTGGGGTCACACGCTCGGTTCGAGTCCAGTCTATCGACATGTGGAGCTCAAAACGCGTCTAGGGTTTTAGCCGGCGGCGGAGCAGGTCTTCTGGCCCTCTGTGCGTGGCTGCCGAGTCTGCAGCAGGATGGAGTTCTCGCTTCTAGGCGACGGAGCGCTTCGGCCCTTTGAGGTTTACGACGCGGCCCGCCGCCCGAACGGAGGGAAACGGTGGGAAAGGGCGGGAAAGGGCCACACACCGTAAAGAAGTAGCGCCTCACTTCCGACGGGATCGCTTCATTTCGTCGGCGGGAAGCTCGGCTCACTGCGGCACGGCGGCACAAAATGCCAACCGAGAGCCGCCGACGACGACGACGAAGACGAGGCCGCGAGAAGCGGACGGTGCCACGCACTGCCATCAGCGAGAGCACATTGTCACAAACATCACGTCGATGGTAAACAGACAGTGTGTCCAAACCACAACCACGGCCACGGCGGCCAAGGCCCCGCATCCGCGCGGCGACGACGGTGGTGCCCATCTGCAATGGAGATTCGAAAATGAAGACGCAGACAATCGAATGAGATGCAGGACACTATCTAGACGCACACACACTGCCATTCTTTCTCGCACACACGGACGCTAACAATGCATCTCTCTCACTCACGCACACGCACGCATCCACACACTATACTCTTCATTCATTTCACCATAGTGCGGCTTCCGTTCGATAATCAATTAGAAAACAATCACCTTAATTTATCCGCTACCGAAGCGCGACGCTGCCGAGAAGATGACGTTCGGGGCGCGTTACGCCTCGTCATGGGCCTTCTTGAATGGGAAAGGAGGCACACCGCTCCGCGCCGCGCCACGCCACGCCGTTGAGGAAGAGGCGGGTATGGCCCGGTCGGCCAGGGGCCAGCCAGCCCTGTCGAGCGATTCCACTGCCCGTGCTCCTCTCTCTCTCTCTCTCTCTCTCTCTCTCTCTCTCTCTCTGTCTCTCTCCCTCTCTCTCTCTCTCTCTCTCTCTCTCCTCTCTCTCTCTCTCTCTCTCTCTCTCTCTCTCTCTCTCTCTCTCTCTCTCTCTCTCTCTGTGCCTCTCTTTCGCACCCCTCCGGCAAGTGCAAGAGAGCAAGAGAGACGGAGCGCCTGGCAAGGGCCGGGTAGGCTGTCCCGGCGCACAGGGCTGCGCGGCGGCACGGCCCGCCCGCTGCTGCCACGGCGGCACGGCGCGCTACCCAGCAGACTCATTCCGAGAGTCGTTTTCGTCGCTCTGTCTCTCTCGCGCCCGCAAGGAGCGACCCATGAGTGCGAGAGAGACAGAGCGACGAAAACGACTCTCGGAATCAGCCTGCAGTCCGGGCAAAAACGGGGCGCTCTTTTCGCCGCCGCTTCTGCTTTCCTTTGTCTCACTGCTGCTCCAGTACAGCACGCGCAGTCCAACACTTCAGGCGCGGGGAAATAATTTAGGCAAGAAAAAAAACAACAACAATGTTTGGCATTGTATTGCAGGGTTTTAAAAATCTCGTTGAAAGCTCCTTTCACCCGCAAACGAGGAAAGTAGCAGAGGTTTTCTTCGTTATAAAAGATTTTTCTTTGAATGTTGCAGTGAATAAGAAAAATGTACCGTGGATAAATTTTTCGCACAATGCTGGAATCAAATTCAAACTATTGAAGCTGAAATTTTACTGTGACGTAAAAAAAGAATTTGTTGTGGCAACATAAATGTAGGTTGATTTTGGGATGGCAAAAAAAAAGTTGTTCGGCGGACAATTAATTTGTTGTCAGAACGAAGACTTTGCTCTCACGACAAATAATTCGTGAGGTGTACAAGCATTTGACTTTTTTCATTTTTATGATATTTGGTCTTCCTGGCGATATCGTCCTTTGTCAGAACGAAATGTTTCGCTCTGACAACAAATTGATAGTACGCCTAACAACTTTTTTTTTAGCTATCCCAAAATCAACAATCGATAGGACAACAGATTCTTTTTTAACGTGCATTTTATACAGTATAAAAGACAAATTTACAAGACAAAAAAACAACAACACAAAGTTGCGTTTTGTCGCATCGTTCGAAAAGTCTCGTTCGGAAATGTGTTATGAGGTTGGCCGGCAGAAAGACGGCGGGTCTCGGCGGGGCTACTGGGGCGTAACGTAGGAAGGAGAGGCCTTGGCGGGGCTTTCAATTATCTGGCCAGAACACCAGAAGCTGAGCATCACACCGGAGGAGTGGTAAAAAGCGCCACAAAAACACAAGCAGAGAGAGAGAGAGAGAGAGAGAGAGAGAGAGAGAGAGAGAGAGAGAGAGAGAGAGAGAGAGAGAAAGCGGCGATGAAACGCGATGCAGTGCGCCCCTTGCATTGTGCGCTATGCATGCACGCTGCGACGCTGCTACTTCGATACTTCGATACATCGAAGCGGGGTCGCGTCGGGTCGTGACGGTAATCGAACGCCGCGGGATTGCCTGTCAAACAGAAGCCGCCGTAACACATGCACGTCTGTCTGCTGTCTAGCCCCGTGGGGAAGACTCGTGAACGTACTCTAAAAAAAGGAAAGTGAATTCGAAGGCACTAAAATCTATTTTACTGTTCACTTAATTTTGACTCCGCTTGGTTGCTAGTTTAAGTCATTATAATAACGTACTGCACGGCAAAAGTACCGCCTGGGATTCCCAGGCGCATCATGGGAAAAAGGGCCTATTTTCCAGGCACCGCCTGGGAATCCCAGGCGGTACTTTTGCCGTGTGGACAAAACCGATGACACATTCTTCTTAAATTTAAATTCAGGTTTTTTTTTGTTTGTTTTTAGTGTGCTGTTGCAGGGGCCGAGGGAAAATAGACGGCGTTCCGACGGTGTGGGCGCTTCATCTTATTTTCACTTCCGTTGGTTCTTCAAAAGGGCCACGTGTTTCAATGAATTGGTCAAGGTGTACCTTAATCCGCGTGTGCCCGAGGCGCAGCCCCGCGCCGCCCCGCGCCGCCCCGCGCCGCCCCGCGCCGCCTCGGTCTCGGTGGGGCCTTTGTGGGCCAGGCGTGGGAACGCCGGGCAGCCTCCATTCACCCAATCCCATCTCGTACGCCGTCAAAATCACCAATATTCACGTTGTTATTCGCTGGGTTCGACTGAGACTCGAGACTTAGGATGCCTTCAATACGGTAATTTTATCTACGCCAAAAAAGCGTTCGATGGGTATGTTTCCTCATTTTAAGAAATCTGGCGCTGTTTTTTGAGGGCGTTGAGAAAGCCGTCTTTCAAGAATTGGCATTTTAGTTTTCACGTAGTTCAAGTGTCTCTTGAACGTTGAGTACGGACATTTTTTGGTAGTGTCTCTATTTTTCTACTATATTTTTTTTGCAGATTGTTGGGAAATCATAAGTCCCCTTGCTCAACAGTCTTGTCAACAGTGGCTTAATAGCCCGGGCCAGTCCGGGATATGCAGGTTTTATCCAAGAGACTTTCCCCACCAAAACGTTATTAAGGTCTTTATTTTTGGCGTGGCGAGGCACACTGGTGGCGTGCGGCGGAGTGCAGTAGCGTGGGGCCGGTGGGGCCCATCTCTGCAAAAACGCCATTAACTGCTTGGCCTTTAGGTCGGCCATTTCCATCCCCGGTTCATCTCTCCTTGATCCTCTTGCCTCACGACGCACCGAGCTCCACGTCGCGGAGCGTTGCGCCGAGCGTTGCACGGAGACCGAGCGTTGCGCGGCTCCCGGGAGCCGCCAGCAGACTCATTCCGAGAGTCGTTTTCGTCGCTCTGTCTCTCTCGCACTCATGGGACGTTCGGTATAGGTGCGAGAGAGACAGAGCGGCGAAAACGACTCTCGGAATCAGAGAGCAGGCCACATTATACTTGGAGAGGAAGCTCCGCGCAATTCGAGTGGCAATCCCAGGCGAGCCGCCTCGCTGTTTTCTTGTCCCGTCCGCGCGTCCAAGTCTCCCGCACCAAAAAAAAAAGTTACAAAAAAAATTAGTTTGAAACTTTATTGATTTCTAATTGGAAATGGCGGTGCGAGGTCAGTGCTATGCTGCCTCCGAGCAGCGATGACCTGATCATTGGGGCAGAGCGAGAGAGGAAGGGGGAGGCAGGGAGGGGGAGAGAGAGGGGGGGAGAGAGAGGGAGACAGAGAGGGAGAGAGAGACAGAGAGAGAGACAAACATACAGACAGACAGACAGACAGACAGACAGACAGACAGACAGACAGACAGACAGACAGACAGACAGACAGACAGACGGTGACAGAGAAACACCTCGCGCGCCAGCAACACAACGACGCTATGATTCAATTAGAAACATGATGAAATAATGGTAAGATAAATCGAAAACAAAAGCGTCGTCGTAAAGGCCGGCAGCCGAACGGCCGGACGAACGGCCGGGCTGCAATTAGCTGGATGCACTCGCCGCTTTTTGCGGCGATGCTTTCTGCAGCCTGCAGCCCGCGGCCAATGCAGCACGCAAAACGCGAGCCGAATTCGGGGCCGTTGCACGCACAGTGGGCCAGAAGACCGGTGGTGGCGGCCAAAATTCTAGACGCGTTTTGAGCTCCAGAGTCGCTAAACAGGACTCGAACCGAACGTGCGACCCCACCAATCGACACCTCCTAGGAACAAGCGGCTATCTTCCAGGAGCTTCCAGACACTCGGCTATCTCGCAGTAGCTTCCAGACACTCGGCTATCTTTCAATAGCGTCCAGACACTCGGCTATCTTTCTGAGCGCTTCGGAGACTCGGCTAACTGCTTTCCCCACTTCCCGAGTTTGGGTGCGTATATATTTTAAACCAGTTGAAATGCCCTCACCGGGACCTAACCAAAATGTGTCAAAAGTTTGTCAGAGTAGATTAAAATCATGGCGTGAGCACGTCTTGATGAGTGTAACAAAGAAAAACGCTATCGAAAGGACAACCCTAACCTCTCCGCAGAAGTCAGTTAGCCGAGTCTCCGAAGCGCTCTGGAAGATAGCCGAGTGTCTGGACGCTATTGAAAGATAGCCGAGTGTCTGGAAGCTACTGAGAGATAGCCGAGTGTCTGGAAGCTCCTGGAAGATAGCCGCCTGTTCCTAGGAGGTGTCGCAATGATTCCTCGTTCAGAGAGCAGGACGAGCCATTCCGGAGGAGTCCCTTAATATCACTGATAACGCAAGATTCTTGATTATTGATTTTGGGCGCAGCTATACTTTTTCACTCAAATTTGGGTGAGGTAACCAGCACTACTCAAATTTCGACGATAAAATAGTCCTCAAACTTTACCTTAGCCAAAATATTAGTCCTGGACCTTTCTTCCATTCTCAGTTAATGGCGATTGAGAATGAATCTGTGCAGCAGCGGCCTCAGCCATGCGGTTTGATTATCCGCGACTCGGATGGCGGCGTCGTATGTTACCTTTTTCCCACCCGACCCAAGCACCTTAGGCCCCCAGCTGCCTGCAGGCCGATTCCGAACAGTGCTTTGGCCGCTCTGTCTCTCTCGCACTCACGCGGCGCGCGCGAGAGAGAGAGAGACAGAACAGCGGTGACGGGGAGGCCGGGCCGACCGGTGATGCCC